ATGATCACCATATATAAGGCACTGGAAAACACTTCAAAGAACATCATAGTATTGTGTCTAAAAACATGGTATTATTATGGTATCGTGTTAATAAAAAGCTACAGCAATACCACGTTACTTATGTTTGTGAAATTACAGCTTAATGTAGTAACAGCGAGTTTAGTAAATATTACACGACAGATGTAAGGAGAACGTCTCCAATACTAGACAGAGAAAAAGTATCTATTTGTATTTCATTTCAATGTACTTTCGCAGCTGTGAAAAGTTTCTTCCTCAATCATTTTGAGCAATTCTGCTCATCTGCAAGAACATTGCGCTCGAGTGAATGGGTGCGTTCACACAAGCGTGCTCGGGCATGGGTTAGCAGCGGAGGCTAACGGCACTTTCTCCGCGCACTTGTAAGTTGGAAGCCAGCCAGTAATGTAAAATCGTTTGGCTTACGTGTAAACGCTGTTAAATGTACCTTTCTTTTTTTTGCATTCCCCCACTTTAACATTCGCCTCGGCGTTTTCCTTCTTGGGCTTGAGTTTGGCGTCCTTCTCGATGTGCTTGGGCTTGTTATTGAGGGTCTCGGCCTTCGCTACTTTGAGTGGCGTGAAAGTGAACAGCGGGGAAGGTGGCAGGACCGTCTTCTGCGGGACGTGGGCTGCTGGTGTCACTTTTCGCGGCGGCCAGCCCGGAGGTAATTCTTTCTTGGAGCTGAGGAGGTGATGATGATGTTGATGTTGATGATGGCGGTGTTGCACAGGTGCCTGCTCTTTGCTGAAGTTGCGCGCTTGGCTGTTCTGTTGGTGGTGCGGTGGATGCGTTCGTTGGTGGAGGGGTTGCTGGTGCTGTAACGTTAGCTTTATTTTCTTCGCTTCCTTCTCCGCTCTCTCGCGCTTGTCATCGGACGGCGAACATTCCCGTTTTTTCTTCTTTTTCTTCTCTTTGGTGGCTTTGTCAAAGCTGTCCCTGCTCTTCTCCTCTACTTTAACGCGTAGTAGATCGACCTGTGCAGCCATTTTGCACGTAAATTTAAAAGGCTGTAAGAGGGACTTTTTGCGCATGTCAATTGGGAGCTGTAGTTCTTTTGTCCCTAGCCAATCGAAGCTCACGCGTTTGTAGTTTTCCCGCTCGGAGCGCGCATGCGCACAATCGGTAGCGTTGTGGGTAGTGATGTTTCTGTACTGCTATAGTTCAAGGTATGCGTGCGCTGCTGCACGCACCTCGGCCAGTGACTGACGTAATGCTGAAGCAGCTTCAGGGGTTGGGCGGTTCCGTTTCGTTGAGAGGAGATAAATGCGCTCGGAGTTGAGCTCACAACCAACAAAAGAGCAACACACAACATCCTGAAGATAATAGTCGCACGGTGTTGGATTTCTTTAGGGGGCGTTGACACGGGAGGCTTTCTTGCTATTTGGGCTATTTTTGGTTGGTCTATGTATACAACATAGGTCTACGCCAGACGGACGTCTTCGGATATTGCGTCGCATCTGCCTGTTATTGGCGACACGAGCGTTGCATTTTTTTAAGTCGGTGTGTCAAATATAAAATAGTAATAGGCTTGTTCGAGATGCATCGGCGCTGCGCAGACCGATTGGCGTATGACATCAAAGTACCGCGAGAGCGATTCAAAAGCTTAGAGTCGTCTGCTCTCCAATCACTCGCGATACTTCGGTCATACGCCGATCGGTCTGCGATTGATTGTATGACTCGTTTTCAAGTTTAAAGTTAGTTTTAGTATTTTATTGTAAGTGGAAATTATATTTAGGTTCTAAATGACTGTTTTTTTTTATAAGTTCAGTTATCGCAGCAACAGGGTGGGACAATACAGTTAGCACACAAACATCACGTAGACGTCTATTTGACATCTGCAAGACGTATTTTTCAGTGTTTTCTCATCTGCAATACGCCTATAGCTTCCTGTCAGATGTCAAATAGACGTTTAAAAAATATCTTTATGATGTTTGTAATTTAGAATGTATGTAAAACTGACATCTTAAGGACATCCGTCAGATGTTTGTACACAGCAGATGCTTTCCAGGTGAAGTGATCTTTAACAGACATCTTGCAAATGTACGTGTGCTATCTGGGACGTTAGAAAATAAGTTTATATCAATAAAATGTAAATAAAACTTGTCTATATATGGCTCTATTGTTTTACAGCTTAAATATATTGTGATGGGACCACGTGATGACTTAATTACAAAGGAATCTCTGAATTGATTTTCAAACAGGGTTTTTAATATGAACCGCTCGAAAGAACCTGTTCAGAAACTTAAAAGATCAAAAGCGGTATCTTTTCAGTAAATCTTTATTCATCGGTGCATGAACAGAAGGTCATGCCCAGATTAATTTCTTTAACCACTCTCTATATATGCTTATACTCTCAATTACTTAAAAAAATAATGGAGCGATTTATAGATTTTTTTTTTTAGTTTTTCCCCTCACAAAGGCAAATTTTATACAGGTGCTGTACATTGTATTTTTTATAAACATTTACAACTACCACAATGTAGAGACCACAAGGCTTTTTTGTGTAAGATAAAGCAATGCAAGGCCACAGTATCATACATACAACCTCATGACATGAGATGCACTAGAGAAACAAGCTACAAAAGTGTTGAGATTAAAGGGGTCATGAACTGAGCAATCAAAATTCCCTTGATCTTTTGACATACAAGAGGTCGATGTACTATAAAAACATCATGTAAGTTTCAGAACTCAAAACTTCCTCATTATTCTAAAAACTTTATATTGAAGCCAATGAATCTGCCAAAAACGACAGGTTGTGTAATGTGCCACTTTATGATGTAATAGTGTGGCTAAACCCCACCTCCGCAGAAGATCATCAACCAACGCCGCCTTTTACATCACTGCCTGTTTAGCCCCGCCCACCTATTTGCGCATGTAAATAACGAGAGGCAAACGCAGAAATCAAATGATAAAGATGCTCCGAAGACAACAAGACACTGCAGTGCCAAGCTGTGGAAAACACAGTCTTTGCATAACCTTCCATCGGATCCCAACATTAGGAAAGAGTATATTAGCTTTATTTTTAATGAAGTTCCAGACAGCGTCATTCAAAATTCCCTTGATCTTTTGCCATATAAGAGGTCATTGTTCTATAAAAACATCCTGTAAGTTTCAGAACTCCAAATTTGATATTGAAGCCAGTCTGCCAAAACAACAGGTTGTGGAATGTGCCACTTTATGATGTAATAGTGTGGCTAAACCCCACCTCCGCAGAAGATCATCAACCAACGCCGCCTTTTACATCACTGCCTGTTTAGCCCCGCCCACCTATTTGCGCATGTAAATAACGAGAGGCAAACGCAGAAATCAAATGATAAAGATGCTCCGAAGACAACAAGACACTGCAGTGCCAAGCTGTGGAAAACACAGTCTTTGCATAACCTTCCATCGGATCCCAACATTAGGAAAGAGCTTTATTTTTAATGAAGTTCCAGACCGCGTCTGGATTCGTTTACAAACAAGGCACAACTCGACGCCGGATTTTTTGAAAGACTGAAATTAAAAGACGATGCTGTGCAACTATATTGGATCCGACAGTAATGTCACAACACAAAAGCGTGAGTAACTGTTTTTATTACCTGGTCACTATTGCTTTGTTATTACAGATCATTTGAGATGTACTGAGTATTTATGCTTTTTAAACCTAAATCACAGCAGGGTCCATCTGTGAATGATGTCAGCAGTCAAACATTCATACAGATTTTTAAATATGCAAAACTGTTAGCCAATCATAGCGGTGGGCGTTTACTTCCGAGTCTACAGTCCGCCACGCCTATTCACA